CTTTCCTATTAATTATCTGATATTTTGGAAGAATGGAGAGTTGTTTATTTTATTTATATTTTTTCTTTTAAGTATATTTTTACTGATTTCAGAAAGGAAGGGAGAGGGAGAGATAGAAATGTCAACGAGAGGGAATCATTGATCAGCTGCCTTTTGCACACCCCACACTGGGGATCAAGCCCTCAACTGGGCATATGCCCTGATCAGGAATTGAACCCAGGACCTCCTGGTTCATATATTGATGCTCAACCACTGAGCCACACCAGCTGGCTCAGTGGTTGAGCATCAATATATGAACATCAATATATATAAATATATATTTATATATAAATATATATAATATATAATATATAATGCATAATATATAATATTATAATCAATTATATATATATATATATATATATATATATATATATATTGATTTCAGAGAGGAAGCGTGAGAAAGAGATTGAAACATCAATGATGAGAATCATTGATCAGTTGCCTCCTGCATGCCCCCCACTGGGGGTTGAGCCTGTAACCTGGGCATGTGCCCTTGACCAGAATTGAACCTAGGGCCCTTTAGTCCTCTGGTCAATGCTCTATCCCAAGCATGTCAAACTCAAAGGCTAACACTGGCCAAATAAACAAGGTTTAAGTTTATGTGAGCTGCAAAAATACAAAAGCTTCAATTTTCATAGAAATGTAGATTTATTTTGATAAAGACATGCTGAATACAAAGGGCTGAAATAAATGAGTAATTGTTAACATAAAATAATAGAACATTTTAACAAAAATTAATATTTTTCTTAAACATTGATTTACCAGATGCTGAATAAATAAATAAGAGTAATGCAAATAAACCTAATTTTCTTGTTCTCCAAAAGTGAAATATTTCCTGTTGCACACACCAAACAAGTCTGTCCAAAACTAGCTGCTAAAATATTTGCTGCTAGTATTAGTGGAGAGAAATGGTGTGCCTGCACATAAGGTGAGTAAGGAAAATGAATGCAACACTTTTATAGTAATCAGTCATTTAGCGAATGTTGTAGTTTGTTATTAATAATTATGTATAACAGGATATTGTAAAAATTAAGTTACAAATTTTTATTAAAACGTTTATTACATACCATTATATTGGCTGGGTTGCAAAAATAGTCATTGTGGGCTTCATGCAGCCCTGAGCTGCGAGTTTGACATACTTGCTCTATGCACTGAACCAAACCGGGGCGGGTTTTTTTTTTTTGTTTTTTTTTTTTAATGCCAGCCTGTGTCAGCTGACTGTTGAGAACGAGAAAAGAGTAATTGTGTCTTAGTTGGGGTGAGGCTTTCTAAGAGGAGTAGTAGAAACTTGGATGGTGGTTCTGGTGACTATGAGATAAACAAAAAATGGAAGTCCAGATAGCTCCACTCCAGCTTTCCAGATCAAAGCTGGGAGGATCAAATCTCAAGAATACCATGGATCATTCCAATAATTTAATTCCCTTCTTAAATCTCTGAGTAGAGATGGGAAAATGTTCTCTGATTATTTAATAAAGGCTAGCCATGAACAAAGCACTGCACCTGGCTAGGGCTTTGTCGGGAGAGGATATCTGGTCCTTATAGCCTTTAAACGTGGACTATATGCAGCACACCTTCTGCCCCTACCAGCCACAGTGACCTTGTGGGAAGGTCCTATATATGATCTTGGGCAGATCATAGACCAGCATCTGAAATAGTTTGCCCTCTTCTAGTCCTTTCTCAAGATTCCAGACTCTCCTCCTTTGTCCCATCTCTCTTGCTTGCTTGGCCCAAGGAAGGAGCCCCACTCATCACACCTGAAAGCAAAGGTGGCTGCAAGCAGCTTTAGCTCTACCCTTACTGCTGTAAACTGCCACTTGCTCACCAAGCTACCCTAAATAAAAGAATAAAGTACCCTTAAGCAGATGCAGTCTTCAGGCAAACTTCCCTTCTCTTTTAACACACATTTCAGGTCACTGTCCCTAAATCCCTGCTGTATAAAAATGTCTGGAACTTTGTCTCCCTCCTTATTCTCCCTCCTCATTATCCCTTGAGACTTTCTGGACTGGTAATTATGTGAAAACAGACATGTTTAGGTCAATGAATGCTCCCACTTATTCATCATAGGGTTCTCAGGATTGTGTCTCTTGCCCACATTAGCCAGCACATTCATCCCCTCCCCCTAAAAGTGCTTCCTTTAGTATCTCAACACAAGGCACCAAATGGGAGGGAGAGAAGAGTAGGCAGGAGACAGGCTCACCAGAGGAGGCTAAGATAAATTTCTTAGGGCAGAAGCCATATTTTTTACTCATTCTGAACCTCTCCTCCACCCCGTGCCCAACACAAGGTGGGCAGGATGCTCACAGCATAAGAATTCACTTCATTCTTGCTGGCTGACTGATGGCTAGTTCTTTGCTGTCAGCACTAAATAGTCAGAAGCTATGCAGTTGGCAACCCTAACTCCTCCCTTCATGCTCCTTAGCAATCCCTGCACTGAACTAGTAGCCTCACTACTTCTCCTCAGGTCCTCATCCTGGAAAGAGCCTGCAGATATGGTTGGATGATTCTATTAACTATGTGCAGACCCCCCCAAAAAAAAATCACAAGATACATCAACATACTACTGTTCTGCATTATCTGTGGGGAATATGTCCAAGACATCCATACTGAAATTGTGGATATCTATCTATCTATCTATCTATCTATCTATCTATCTATCTATCTATCATCTATCTATCTAAAAAAAACTGTTTTCCCCTATACATACCTACTTTTTTTTTTCTTAAAGGAAGCACTTTATAATTTCTCTTTGCCAAATCTGAATTCCTGTATTTTGGGAACATTATTAAGTAAAATTAAGGGTTACTTGAAAACAAGCTCTAACAGTTGATCTGACAACCCTGGCAGCTACTAAGTGACTAAGGGGCTGAGAACATTTACAGCATGGAGATGCTGGACAAAGGGATGATTCACTTCCCGGGTGGGACAGAGTGGGTTGGTATGAGATTTCATCATGTACTCAGAACAGCATGCAATTTAAAACTTATGAATTGTTTATTTCTGGAATTTTCCATTTAATATTTTGGGCCTTGGGTAACTAAAACTATGGGAAGAGAAACTGCAGATAAAGGGCGGGAGGGACTACTTAGAGTGTTTCCCAACCAAACCACCTCCATACTCACAGACACACACAGATAAATTTTTATGAGTAAGGGTTCTATGCAAGGTTAATGAGAGAATAATCAAGGTGGAGATATGCCAACATATCAACTAAGTTGCAACATATTGGAAAATAGAATTTTTTGGAGAATTGCCAAAAATCTAATAGGATCTCCCTTTAAAAGGCACTCTTTTGAAAGTAGCATGACATACCCCAAAGAATAAGTCCTGGGTTCTTGTGGGTTTCTCTGCTTACTAGCTGGGTAGTCTCAATTTTATTATTTGCAAAAGGGTGACGATTATGATTTCTTCCTTGTGGGATACAAGTGAAGTAATGTACATTATGTGGTTCATGGAGCACTTCTGGATGGCGACTTAAGGGATTTTGGAGTTTAATGAAACGGAGCTTTGCATTGAATTGGATGTTGTCAGAAACCAGGAATAATTCTATAATTGGGTACCTCAATACATCTTATCTAAAAAGGAAATATTAGACCAAAGATAAAGATGTAATTAAAGAAACAGTCACTCATATTAGGCAGAATAGAGAAAGTTTGGTCATTTCTATGGTTTAGATAATGTTCATGTTTTGTCTGTGTTCAGATCTGATTACATAGTGATTTTTTTCAGCCTGACACTCTCCCAGCTGAGCTATTTCAGCCCAAAGAGTGGTCATTTTTGGTATTGATCCATTACAGTCAAAGAGTGCCTTGTCTAATGTTATATTTTCTTCTTTTTTCTTTTTTTTTATTATTTAAGACCTTTATTAACAGGTGCTTGCAGTTTGTTGACTTTTTTGAAAAAATCAAGCTATAAACCTTTATTACAAATTAAAAATGAGGTTCTTAAAAATCTCAACTTGACCAGATATGAAACAATTTAAAAACCTTTAAAGGTGTATTGAGAAAAACCAAGTTTTTTTTCTTTCTTAAAAAACACGTTTGTCATTACCAAAAAGAGATGTCTTTAGATAAAAATAATAAAAACCCCATGCTGCATAGATAATGCAGATAGTTCTAGTTATCTGGTCAATTGGCAAAAAGCAAGCACTTAAGGTCTTCAGCTCCAATCTTTTGTTCATTTCTTATTGCTGGAATTTCTTATTTCTTCTTAAAGATGGTAAGTCTGCACTTTTTACTCAGCCCCGCCCTGCTCATCCTCAGGAGCGGAGAATTCTCAGCTAGTGGATTGGCTGCTTTTGTCTCTTTGCCATCTTGTGGTTTAGGGTTTTCTGGGAATCTGCATTGGTAATTGAAGTTGCGGCAGTACCAACGTTGAGGTGACTGCTGACCTTGGGTCTCATCTTCTTGATTTTCCTTATCTTCTTCGTTGCTGTCTTCTCTAGGCTGTCTTTGGTGAGGAGAGCCCCTGTAGAATTGTGGCCTATAGCCCCGATACATATTCTGTCTCACTGGTCTGCCTTGTTCTCCTGCACCCTGGTAGTCAGCACCCTCCATCACTTCTCCCTGTACAGGAAGGTTGGAATACTGTGGTCGATGCCCATAGGGTCTCCGCATGTAGTAAGGTGGGAACCGTCGCCTGCAATAGGGCTAGCGCTGTTGGCCCTGGCCTTCAGGAGCACTCTCTGATCCCTCATTCTTTTCCCTACTCTCACTATTCTGGTAATTCTACTGGTAATTGCGTGGAGGACCCCTGCGATGTGGATAGCGTCTATAATGGTTACGGTCTGCTGCATATGTACTGGAACTCCACCAGGACCTGTAACATTTGCTGCCTCCGCACCCTTTTCTCCTTCAACAACATCAAACTCCACAGTCTCTCCATCTCCTACACTGCAAAGGTACTTCCTGGGGTTATTCTTCTTTATGGCAATCTGGTGTACAAATACATCTTCCTTGGTGTCATTCCTGTTGATGAAACCATATCCGTTCCTTACATTGAACCATTTTACTGTTCCCAAAACCTTCGTTGTGATGACCTTCTTGTCCTCCCGGCGGCGGGCGCTGCCGATGTGAGCCCCCCCCCCCCCTTGTTCCCTGCACCGCTGCCTGCGCTGAGGGTGGGGGTGCTGCAGGGAAGAGGGGGGGTGCGGCGGGCCGCTGCTGGGTTTCGGCCTCGCTGCTCATGGTTGCAGTGATGGTGACTGGGGCCGGCTGTGGCAGCTGAGGTTCCTTCCGGGGTGTGATGGTAACTAGGCCGGTGGTGGCGGTGGGACTGCTCAGGGCTCTCTGGGGTCCGCTCTCCGCTCCCCCTACCGATCGAACTCTAATGTTATATTTTCTGAAACTTTAGTACCAGGCCATGTTTCAGCTGTCAGGCACTGATTCCTAGTTTCTTTCTTAGTGCTTCCCTATGGCCAAAGGTATACAAAGTCAGGCTGTAGGACATTAATCAATGATGTCCAGATTTTCACCATTGCCAAGATTCTGCTGATTAGGAAGTTGTAGGACTAGGGTTAGTCTGTTCTGATCATTATATTGCAGGATGAGTTGTTGAGTCCTCTGATGTAATAATGGCTGGGCAGCAGCATTTGAAACACAAAATAGGATACTATAATACTAACAATTATCAGAAACAAAATAAATGATTAGTCCAGGAAACAAGTGACTTCTCCCCACCCCAACTATTTTACTTATCTTGTAGTATACAGACATAGCAAGAAGTATTTGTTACAGTATAAATTCCCCTTGATTAATTGAGAGGGGTAATGTGATTATTTGTAACAGCCCTGGTTACTGAATTTAGACTAGTTTGTCAGGCTTTCAGAATAGAGGTTATGTTATTTATTACTTTTTGTAGGGCCAGAGACAAGATTTAGACCATATTTGCCAGCTGTATTATTCCTAATCATGGGAATCACAGTTGGATGGTATAGGTACACGAAGAGGCAATCAGAACTCCCCTGGGAGTTCTCCAAAGTATCTTGTGTATGCCTTGTTTTAAAAAATATATTTTATTGTTGTTATTTTTTTTACAGAAAGGAAGGGAGAGAGATAGAGAGTTAGAAACATCAGCATACTCCCTACTGGGTATGTGCCTGGGTATGTGCCTGATTCCTAGACTGGAATCAAACCTGGGACCCTTGAGTCCACAGGCCAACTCTCTATCCACTGAGACAAACTGGTTAGGACTGTATGCCTCATTTTGGAAGTAATTAATTTTGGGGTAATTTAAAAATTATTTCCAGAGAAACACAATCCTCTAGTATAAAGTGGTAATTCTAAACATCTAAAAATTATCCTGAACACACATCCTATCTAATAAAGAAAGAATATGCTAATTGACCCTCATGCCATTGCAAAGATGGTGGCACCCACAGGCAATAAGGAGGGAATATGCTAATTGACCCTCATGCCATTGCACAGATGACAACACCCACAGCCAATAAGAAGGGAATATGCTAATTGACTGCCCCACTTTCAAAGATGGTGGCACCCACAGCCAATAAGGAGAGAATATGCTAATTTATTGCCATGCCTTCAAATATGGCAGTGTCCATAACCACAAGATGGCAGCACCCAGACCCCTCAGCCTCGCCGTGGCAACAGGTTCACAGCAAGGCCACACTTGCCCATAGGCGGGCCTGGCCACTCTGTGCACCTGCCTCCAGAGTCCCCCAGTCCCCTCAGCCCCTCCCCTCCCCCCAGCCACCTAGGGCAGGCCTGAGGCACAGGCAAGACTTGGATGGTGGTTTCCCAGCCACCCAGGGCTGGCCTGAGGTACAGGCAAGCCTCAGATGGTGGCTTCCCAGCTTCCCAGAGCCACCCAAGGCTCAGGTAACCAGGGCCAGCCGAGGCTTGTGCTGCTGGCAGTGGCAGCAGCAGAGATGTAATGGGTCGTTGCTGTCCCCTGATTGCCGGGTTGTCTCCCAGACCTGAGGGTTTCCGTACTGCAAGAGAGGGCAGGCTAGGGTGAGGGATGGCCCCCTCTTCCAGTGTATGCATTTTCATTTATCAGACCTGTAGTGATAGATAAGTTAGTGTGTGACATCGATGTGTGATATATAGACATGAAGTAGTACCCTAGTGGGGCACATATGAGCAAAAGTGTCATTTGTAACAATACCAGTGAGCCCATTTTGTGTACTTCTAAGTTAACAGAGTTTTTGAGTCACGTTAAACAATTTTTACAAAGTAGGCTGAAATGTCTCTAATATGAAAAATTCCCCAACAGAAGTAAGAAGAGGGAATGGGTTCAGTGAGCATCTGCACAGTTTCTGCTGCTCTGATCCCATACTCTGTAGTGCAATCAACCAAAGTATCAGCTCCGTTGAGTACTAGCTTGTGACTTTGACTTAGCCTCTGTGCCTCCATTTCTTCATTATAGATGGAAGAGACCAGTAGTATTTGCTTTATGTAATGAGGATTATCTGATAATTAATACATGTAAAGCACTTAGCACAGTGGCTGCCGGTGGTCTTGATTCCGCATCTAGAAGGGTTCAGCAATCTGAAGAAGGGGCTGTGCATAAATTAAATAAGAGTCCAGAGATGAAACATAATTTTGAAAGGCATCATGGGGAGTCAGAGAAGACTTATCTAAAGGAACTAAGTTCTCCTTGTCTCAGGACCCCTTGCTTTTTATTAACACAATTTGTCCTAAGGCAAGGTAGATATACACATCAAAGGGTAGGGTTTCCTATACACAATCCATTGTCAGATTGGGGAAAATTACCTTATGCTGTTCAGGTATTTGGTCATTAGGAGACAATAACATGTAGATTAAGATGCCCTTAGCTACCTGGCAGCAAGTGATCATTTTATGCATTCTTTTCAGGTTTGGGAAAATACACCCAGCCATCTTCAGATAATTCAGCTCTGCTGACATGCTGGAATTGGCTTCTGGCAAGTGGCAACTTATTTAACTCATAAAGCAAGTGTAGGAAATTTAGGAAGTTTGAATTATGAGAAATTTAAATCTGGTCTTGAAACTAAACAAAGTAGTGTGCTAAAGACCCTGAATCACACCCAAATTCTTTATATATATATATATATATATATATATATATGTTTTATTTACTTTCAAGAGCGAGGAAGGGAGAGGGAGGAGATAGAAACATCAATGATGAGAGAGAAACATTGATCAGCTGCTTCCTGCACGCTCCCTACTGGGGATCGAGCCTGAAACCCTGGCACGTGCCCTGACAGGGAATTGAACTGTGACATCTTGGTTCATGGGGTCGATGCTCAACCACTGAGGCACATCAGCTGGGCAAGCCTCTTATTTTCTTATAGCTATAGTAAAAGGCTATTTTATAAATATACTTTCAGTGCATATAAAAATTAACACAGTTTAATAAAATATTTTAGACAAATTTGACATCTTGTTTACAGTGTATACAAAATAACTAAATTATATTTTAATAAGTTAATATTTGAAATTTCACAAAAGAGAAAATGGAACAGGAATAATGAAAATTAAAGAGAGAGTTGCTTATAGTCAAATATGTAATTATCACTGTAAAGGACTATATTTTTTTTCTGCAAGGAGAAAGAAGAAAGTAAACATGCAAAAATAGAGCTGTACACACCAAAGATAGTAGCATATAACTGGTTTTGATAAAATATGGACCTTTGACAAATCTTTCAAGCTGTATAATTAAAAAGCCAGCATTAATTAATCCCACAAATATGGAAACCAAGAAATGATATTTCCTAAGTTTAACAAACTGATCTCTCTTTTAGACAAACAAGACAATCTCATAAGGTTTCTTTTGCTTTTTGTTAAGTACTCCTTTTGTTTAGTCCCAAAGGGGTCATTGTGATTTTATTTTAATTTTTGTTGTGTATAAATATATATTTAAAAATTTTTAATCTTTACCCAAAGATATTTTTTTAAATTGAGTTTTTTTAGAGAGAGAGAAAGGGAGAGGAAGAGAGAGAGAGAAACATCAATCAGTTGCCTCCTGAACTCACCCCAACCAGGGATCCAACCTGAAATCTAAGTTTGTATCTTGACTTGGTATTGAATCTGTGACCCTTTGGTGCACAGGATGACACTCAAACCAAATGAGCCATACCAGTCAGTGCTGTATATATTTTAATGTAGTTGTGAACACATGGAATATCAAAATGGAAATATCAATATTTTAAAAATTAACATCTTACTTTAAAAGGAAAGAATACACATTATAGAAAACTTGGAAAATACTGAAATGTATAAAGGAAATTATATCACCTAGAATTCTATTAGCCAAAATAATCATAGTTAATATTTTCGTATATTCTCTTAGTCATTTTTTTAAACATACTCTTATTTTTTTAAAATATATTTTATTGATTTTGTGCAGAGAGGAAGGGATAAAGATAGAGAGTTAGAAACATCGATGAGAGAGAGTCATTGATCAGCTGCCTCTTGCACACCCCCTACTGGGGATATGCCCACAACCGAGGTACATGCCCTTGACCGGAATCGAACCCGGGACCCTTTAGTCCCCAAGCCGACGCTCTATCCATTGAGCCAAACCGGTTTCGGCTCTTAGTCTTTTTCTACTAATTTTCTTCTTTACATAGGTAAGCTCATACTATACAAGGTTTTTAGTATGATGATGACAAAAAATGCCACTGCATTTTTAAATAGTCTCTGCTGAACTGTTTTAATCAGAGAGATAAACATACAAGTTAGCATAATGGGAATAAGACATGAAAGAAGCAGGTGTTTAGTCTGAAATAGGTGCATTTTTTAGATGGAGAAAACATCATCAGAACTCAATGGTCTGTGAAGATGATTATGGCAAACTTTGTGTCTCCAGAATTTGGTTAAAGGACAATCGTCAACAATTAGGGGCCAAACAAGTCTCAGGGAGAAAAAAAAGATTGAGAAGTCTTTATAAGGTTTTGAAATGATAACCTGAAATAAATTTTGTCTGAGAAAACTGTCTGAACTTCAGCCAGCTCAAGAACAAGTTTATTGAATTTATGCCATCTTCTCCCTAAAGACTTTTCCTCTTATAAACAAATAACATTAAAGACACTAGACAAGCAGACAGACTATAGGGTCATGTGTCAAAAGGCTAAAAAACAATTTCATCAAAGAATAGCACAAATCAAAACAGATAACCAAAATTAGCTCAAAGGATCTCATTCCTAGGAAAGCTAAATCCTAAGCCGAAGGACTACAGTGAAATA